TTTCAAAATTTTCATCTCTGTGTTTGAAATTCCAGTCAAAATCACTTGCTCTTGTTTTCTGAAATACATACCTGTATTTGTTGAAAGAAGTCTTCATGTTTTCAATTGAAAAGGATTAGACTAATAAAAAGAACCAACCACCTAACATGCACATTGACAGTATTTAACTTCAAATAATGTACATAATATATAAAATAATAATATATTATATGAAGTAAAATATTGACTGTCGTAATTAGCATATAAATGTAATTCTATAAACTGACACTTTGTTAGTAGTAATTAAACAAAGGTTGGCATTAGTGAAAATAATTGTTTTATTTCTGTATTTTTCAATCTGTGTGCCTTCTGATATGTGTTTTGCAGTTTTGACTAGTTATGCACGTCTAGTCATCTTTAATACTAAATGCTTTTCAATAATTACTGTGTTAAACGCTTGATATAATTTTCCTGAATATACAGTGCTAGCATGCTTTAAAAAAGCTTTGATTTTATATTTATTACCATAATATATTTTATTTAGAACAAAACATTAAAGCACGACTTTAATTACTAGGGAGAAATAATTGTCAGGCTACGGATCCCAGTAATGATCAGTATTTCTACTTGAGACTGCAAGGTTTTAAAGGTGCAAGAGTGCTAACAACAGGAAACACCAAGAATTATGGCAGCATTACTTTTTCATCATTCTGAGAATTAGTGGCCCTTTGGGGAGGATGTCTCTGTTGAACGTACTATCAGCTCAGGCTTCATTCTCAGAAGGGAACAAAGGCACTGTCAGAGTATCTGCCACAATTTAAACCCAACTGCTAGGTCCACTCGGCAATTTCTCCGAAAAGACCATGGGTAACTAATTTAATTTTGCTTGCCGTGGCTGTACCTTGGCTTCTGAGAGACAAAGTCCTTGCAAAGCCAGGAAGGACATGTTATATCATTATATCCACTTTTTGCTTATAATAATGTAAAGTCTGGGGCTGAGAAAGATGTCCTTGCATTTGCAAAGAGGGCTCTTTCACTTGTAACTGGTTGTATTTCCTCTACTGTTGGAGATTATCCATTTGCTACTTATCCAAAGCCCAGATTATTCTAAGAGCCTCAGAAGCTTTCTGATCCACTGTGCTGGTGGTATGTTCACAATCTGGAAGTGTTTCGTCCTTCGGCGTGGATTGTGATCCACACAGATACCTCCCTATGTAAGCCTGAAAGCCTTCATCCTAGTGCATGGCAACGTGCCTCATCCCAAATGTACCCAATCTTGACACATCAAATCTCAGACAGATGTTATGGAGACAACTAGTGAGTGGTGTGGGTGATCTGCGTCAAGCTACCTGCTAGAAAAACAAAAGATGCCTGTCCTACCTCCATGCACTTTAAGGACTAGCAATAAATTCTTTCTTTTTCTTTTATCTCCTTTTTCCTTTTTTTTTTTTTTTTTTTT